TTTTCTCGGTTTAATCGGTTTTTCGGTTTTTGGCACAAACCTAGCTAAGTGAACTGGTCTAAATATCTTTTTGTCAGATTTCACGGTGACCAAACATTTCGTGACCCTGAGAGGAAAACTAGCAGGTTTCAGCATCTTTCCTCTTAGTGGCTGCATCAATGATTGTCATGATCATACACAGACATCAGGATTTGAAAGCAGAGTCTTGAACTTGAGTGACAGGCCAACTGCACTGCAGATAAGGGTTGGATCAATACTGAAAAAGGTGCAAACGTTGAAGCCTTGTTTTTCTAAGAGACGAAAATGCAAGAGCATATACAAAGCCTACATTCCTAATAAGAGTGGCAGTACTAGTAATGGAGGTATGAAGAGCAATATTAATATGATGAAGCACGTCACCTTTACATTTGGGTGCATGACATGGAGGTGATTTCTCTAGGATGGTCAAGCAGCAATATATTAGCCTTGAGGATTTGAGGGATTATTCTAAGAATAGAATTTTCAGGGATCATCAAAGAGGCTGCATATCGGTCTGCAAGAAACCCAAGCCTAGTTTTTGTTGACTTTTCATTGAATTTAGATAGTTTGTGTTGGGGTGGTAGATATGACTAAAAAATTGATATTTTTTTCAAAATGCATAAGTGTCGAAGTAATAAATAATCCAGTAAGACTGAGGTTGAAACCACAAAAAAGTTAACTGTATAAACTATAAATAAAGAAATAGATAATAACAGAAAAGGAGTAGAAGAAAACTTTAAAATATGATATTGATATAAGGATTAAATAATGATAAAATAATTATCAAGGTTAAAAGATCTACTAATAGTATTTTAAATAAGTATAGTATAAACTCTTTTTATTACTCAACTGGAAACTACACATAAAGTAGGTTCTAATTGGATTATAAATGGTTAACATGATTACATTAGTTATTTTATTCAAATAATGCTAATATTTGTAAATATTATCAAACATTCATGATTATAACTTATGCTAACAACAAATCAAGTTCCTTTCATAGCACATGTGTCGGTTATATCATATGGTTGGGCTATGAAAGTGCTAAGTATTTGTTGTATCAAGGGTTATACAACATAAATCTAGATTAACTATTTAACAAGCAAAGTATTAAAAATGAATAAGATAACAAATACAAAACATGTTAGTATCAAACATTAAAGTCTATATTGAGTTTATACTATACTTATTAGTGTAACCTTTTCACCTTTATATAATAAACTTAACTAAACATAATGAAAGATAGAAACATAAATAAACAAGATAAAAATATAAATAAGATATAAGTTAACTAAGTGAAAGAAAAAAAATGAAAAGCATAAACAAAATATTAATATAAACAAAACTTAAGTATTATAAAAAAATAAAGAGAGAGCAAGAACATGATCTTGATATGAAAACCAAGATGTCTAAATGCATGGCAAATGCCTTCTTTTATAGGCTAAAATTTGAAACTATTGATTTGTTGACTAATTATTGAGTGGGTAGCCACATCTTGACTTAGTGACAATCTTTATCTTCTTGTCTAAATAAAACATCATTGCTAATATAAGAATTTGAACAAATTGTCTTCATGAAAGTTCTAGGATTTTTTCTCAATTTTCCAGTATATTTAGACTTCTACAACTCGAGATATAAGTTAAATACTAAATAGTGCCTGCCTACAGGACAGATTCAGACTTCTCCGTTATTGCTACAAAACTTGAAAACGACCTTTTTGAATCTTAGACTCTATGAAAGTTTTAGGCCTGTCTTTTAGCTTTCTATCCATATAGAGTAGACCCAAATCCAAGTTCTACAACTCCGGATATGACCCAATGACTGAATAGTGTTCTGGTTTAGACTGGGCGCCAGCATCTCTTTTCTAAGCTTAGCCCTCTCTTTGTCTTCTTAATTTCAGTAATTGAACTCATCAATCAATCATTTTATTTTTGTGATAGGCCTACATTTACTATGAATATTTATTATAAATTAAAGGTATCTTATAGTATCAGACTTGTTATTATAACATATGCTCTAGTTAAGGAGTTACTGATACTTCAAGTACAAAATGATGATTTAAAACCTTGATAAAAATACACTTTCAAGTACTAATTACACCCCCTAACTAGCTTATTACTAGTCCCTGGTAATCAAAGCGTTAAAATAGAAAAATAATTTGCAAGTTCCACGAAGCAAAACATTCATCATTCAACTTTCATTAATTTATCCAAATAAAGAAACTCATTAATTTTACATATCTACTTCATACTTCTTAAACAAGATATTAATAAACTTTTTTTTTTGTGTGCTTAATAAATCAACATATAGTTATGGAGCTTCCTTTGAACAAAATAAAATTTTGTTCTAATGTTTAAGGTTAACTTCCTTGGGTTAAGAATTATATATATAACTTAAAACACAATTTATTTTTAACCCATGTAACGAGCTTTAAGTTAATGACTCCAAAATCAATTGGTCTTAGGACATTAGGTGTTGAGACATCCCTTCGAGCTTAGTAACTCAGGTTGCACATACTAATACACAGATAGTGCAATGTTTAATTCCCTTAATCTTTTCTCCTTAACCTAAGTAACAAACATTAGGCCAATAGCTCTTAAGTCAGTTGACTTTAGGGTATTAAATGTTAAAACACGTTTTCGGGCTTAATTGTTTAAGTTAAAGAGGCTACGGAACCAAATTTATCTATATTTTTTTATTTATTTAATTACTTTTATTATCATTTTTTTTCTTTTTGCAAATTATATACTATCCATTTTACTTAGTTGTTACCCTTAACAAAAGAACATAAATAATATAATAATCCAATATACAACCCACAATCATATGTTAAAGTGTGTGTGTAAAAATGAAAGTTTATAAATACATGTTTAATAAGTATATGCGCAAAATCAATTGATAATAATGCAAGAGTTTGTAAACCTGAATATTTCAAGAGAAGTATGTGATAAAACTTGTTATGAACATTGTAAATAACAATTGAAAAATATTCACTAAGATGTGTCTCAAGAGTGAATAAAATTTTTCCTTAATCTGACATCCTAGTAATAACATTATTGTCAAATGGTTTTCTTAAAAAAAAAAGTAAGTTTTTTTTTTCCAACTAAAACCCTCTCTTCCCCCAACCAAAATGAGACATTGTCCTTATTATCCTAAAGTAAAAAGATAGAGTATAGAAAATATCACCCGACACAACAAACACTGATAAACTTGAAATATACTTAAACAAATATAAGAAACAACAAAACACTAATATTATGCTATTAATAAAACCAAGAGACAAATTTTTACAAAAGAAGGCTTAAATTGTAGTTATGATTATGGAAACTAAGAGACAAATTTTTACAAACGAAGGCTTAAATTGTAGTTATGATTATGGGACATCTTTCCTTAGTTTTATGTCTAAGAACGACTTAAATGCCCTTTATGGGTCAAAGATAAGCTTCCTATCCAGTTTTCTTTAAAACTAGCAAATAGGGTTCCAAGACTACGTTAAGCATGTTCTTTATGATCATGAGAGCATAAATTATGAATTGCACGATGCACATCTCCATTAAGGTACATCCTAATAGTCAATAGAAGATTATTTAAGGACTTTTTATATTTTGAAGTAAATCCTAACTTTTGATAATTTTCAAAGGTTTTGCAGAATACATATGTGTCCTTGAACATGGTGGGCCAATAAAATTATGTTTGTTGATGAGAAATGACCCTACATGCCTTGGAATGACAAAATTTAATAATACTACTTACCTCATTGTCAAGAATGCATCTTTGATATATTTGATTAGGATAATATTTGAATAAGTAAGGTTCACTCCAATAAAAGTTCTGCATGTTGCTTAAAAACTTTCTTTTATCTTTGGTATCCAAATGAATTGGCAAAAATCCTAAAGCAAGAAAAGTATCAATATTAGCAGACCAAGATATTGAAGCAATAGAAAGTTAAGATTTATCAGGAAAGTAATCATCAATTGGTGTGATGTCAGATGTCAAATTTATTGTTAATTTTGACAAATGATCCGTGATAATATTTTTGGTGCCTTTTTCGTCCTCGATTTCTTCCTGTTTGAAAGTTTTAAAGATTTCAGAATCATGATTGACTTCCCTTTGTTTGGTCATAGCATGAGGAAATGAAAGTACTGGTGGGGAATCAGTATTTTCTTTGCAATGCTTAAGTTTAACCCCTTCCTTATCCTTAAAGATTGATTTATCATCTTTATCACAAGGTTCAAGAATCAATTTTTCAATAACCTTACCACTATAGAGAGTAATGACTGATTCGACTTGATCTATATGGTTGCTTTCGGAGCTGCTTACACTTGAATTGCATTGTCCTTTAGGATTTTATTGTGGTTAAGATGAAAACTTACCTTTCTCCTTAAAACTGGGAGTAGATATAAATTTTGCAAGAGTATCTTTAAAATTTGTTATGCTTTGAACAAGTTGAGTATTAATTGTCTCTTGCTTTTCAATGAATGCATGTAACGTTTCCTCAAGATTTATTTTAGAAGGTGGAGCATAAGAAGGTGCATATCTATAAGAATTTTAGAAATTATGGTGTGCTTGAAACGGTGGCTATAAAGTTTGTGTATTATTGTTATCACTCTTTCATCTGAAATTTGGATGATTTCTCAAACCAGGGTTGTATGTTTGCAAGTATGAATTCTGATTTGGCCTTTTGAAAACTATTTAAAGGATAAGTTTGTTTATGGAGACAGTCCTTAAAAGAAGGTAAAGTTGGATAATTATTGGTTGAATGCTCATTGGTTTTACAGATTTAACAAACATTATTTTGAACAAATTTTATTTGACCTCTCCTTTTGAATTCTAATGCCTCGACTTTTCTAGCTAATGATGCAAATTTGGCTTGGAGGTCATAATCTTTCCTAAGGTTGTACATTCCTCTACTAGATGTATGAGGTTAAGTTGTATTTGGTGCCTTATAAGTGCCTGTAGTGTCCTAATTTTGAGCATTTTCAGCTAGCAAGTCTAGGTACTCCATTGTTTCATTAGGGTTTTTATCTTCAAAAGTTCCATTGCACATCAATTCCACCATTTGTCTATCTTTAGGTGTTAATCCTTCATAAAAATATAAAATCAATATCTATATTTCAAAACCATGATGAGGGCAAGTATTAAGCAAGTCTTGTAACCTATCCTAACATTGGTAAAATGTTTCTTCTAGTTTTTGAGTTAAAGTAGTAATTTGTTTTTTGAAAGAGTTTGTTATGTGAGGTGGAAAAAACTTCTTTAAGAATTGTTGTTGCATTTCATCTCAGCCATGCATTGATTGTGATCTCAAATTTTGTAGCCATGTTTTAACTTTATCTTTTAATGAAAAAAACTTTAATGTGATTATGTTTATACTACAACTTAAGTCATTATTAGTGTTATAGACGTGCTCGAATTCCTTTAAATATAAGTATGAATTTTCTAAATCTAAGCTATGAAAAAAGATAAAAGTTGAATAATGCTTGACTTAAAATTAAAATGAGATGTATTAAGGGGGAAAACTATACATGATGGTGTACTTGTTCTTGTTGGATTCATGTGGTCTCCAAGTGTTCT